GGCAGGGCCCGGGCCCACGAGCGCTGGCCCCCTCGCGGCCCCCCGAGTGCCTGCTGCGGCGTGGCGCCCCTGCCCAAGGTGCCCACCACCCCTCTCGGTCGCTCACGCGCTGAGGAAGACTCCGGCTTTAGAGGAGCTTTAGGGGGGACTGAGTCCTTATAAACAACCAGTGAACTTGGGCGAGGGGACTCTAGCACGAGTCCTTCTGGGCGCCTCTGGACTCCACTGCGGGCAGTGGGCGGGCGACGAAGCGAATTGGAGGTTGTGGTCCGGAGACCCATTCCTTTGCTTAATTTGGGGATCTGAAACTCTGGTCCACAGTGATCCGCACTTTGAGGTTTCCAGTGACCACACCACAAAGGCGGTCTTTACGTTGACACGAGTTAGTTGGTTGTGGGGAATGTTCAGGACTTTTAGAACATGTTCATTTTGTAGAGACCTGTTCATTTGAGGATATTTGGGCGTATAGCTCGTAAGGCAGAAAGTAGTGCTGGAAAAGTAAGGTCATTTTGTAAAATTTCACTTTGAAAATTGTCCTAAGACTTTAGGAACAATGTTATGAAATAAAATACTGGCTTTATGCTTTTTTAAGAACACAGTTTATATAATTTTAAACCAGACGGTTGAATGGATAAGTGGCGAGACCGAGCAGACTTACCTGGAGCAGTTTTCATCGCTGCCCCGCTAACTAACCAACTGACGAACTATCTTAGCCCAGAGTTGTTATTTGAAGCAGTATTTTCAACCTCTAAAGGTGTGGGACAGTTGTCTTCAGCTTTTAGGAGGATGTGTCGCCACTGGTAATTGATAACCATTTTCTTTGACATTGGCATAAAAACTAAACAGTTTAAGAAGTGTCGCCTAGTCTTAGCTGTGTTGCAATTTTTAAAAAATCCAATATCTCGATGATGCATTTTTATAATAGACAAATGATTAAGATTTCAATTGTATGACAATTAGAAGCCATTGTGATTCAAAAGGACTGAGGCATTCATAAATTGTGAATGAAGATGAAAACAATGATAAGGCTTATTCAGTGATTGGATACAGTCCTGTAGCTTTTTGGCTGACACATTTTTTATTGTTTATATTTTGTTTGGCATCTGAGTATGATTAACTTAGATATGGCTATTTTCAGCAAGTAAACGTGCACTTTAATTTAACAAAACTGGAAAAATGAGTTGTTGAGCTATTTGTATTTTAAAAGCTGTGAATAATGGCCAATAAATATGAAGATGAAACTGTTTCAGGTGTAACAAATTGCCTTTAGTTGTAAAAGTTACCTTTCATATTACCCATCAGCGGGATTTTTTTTCTCTTTCTGGTAAACCACATCCATTTGATATTAATTTTACGTTCTTGAAGCATAGTTCAAATAAAACAAATTGAGGTAAGCTTTTCACTTACAAAGTACTGCATCACTTATTCTTACCTGTAAAGGATTACTTTTCTATATTAATTTATATTTCCAGAATCAGCTTTTTGGAAATATTGCTCGTGATTACATTGCATTTTTAGTTTCCTCCAAATATGTATCGAAAAGTTGCTGGCTTTACCATAATTTGTGTAAGTTAAAAATAATATTGCAGCATCGTGACGTATGGAACGTTAGGAGCATATACAGCATAATCATTCAGCTATCACATTAGTATTCTAGGATACATGCTAACCAACACTAATTCATGGTGGCTAATATTCTCTACTATCTTAATAATGTAAATTGAGGTTGCCGTATTAAAACTGTTTTGGCGATTTAAGGCCTATACCAGAGAAGGAATTCTACCTTTAGACTTCTCACTTAACTAAAATCTGTTGACTTCATAGGTAATGTAAGGTGTTTCGAAAGTAAGGGCACCTTAATGGTGTTACTTTTATATCAGACCAGTAGTTTAGTTTTGTATTACAAGAGCCTAATAGCTGTAGCAAAACATTTTTTAGGATATGTAAATACAAACTAGAGAAACATTTTTAGTTGGTTGAAAACTTTACAGAGTGTCTCAATTGTTGCAATATGTTATCTAGGTTTTAGAAAGAATTTTAATGCAAAAGGAGCTACAGTTAAAGTTGATATTTAGCAAAATGTTATGCGAAAGTATCAGTACTTCAATATAAATCGTATTTATACATCAGTGTAAATCAGATGTAAAAGGAAAATTAAGAACCATTATATATGATTTAATATTTGCTTTTTCCAAAAATAGTGTAAATCCTTAATAATATAACTTTCACTTGGTATGATTGCATTGAATTTTTTTTCTTGCATTGTCTTTCAAGTTCTTTAGGTATATTTTTTTAATGATTTATTGTCATATAGCAATGCTCCAGGAACACCTAGTATTTACTCTTCTACTTCTGTAGTGGTCTAATTTTCCATCCCGTTCATGGAAACCATTGTTTCTGTGAAGAAAAATATTTCTAGTGGCATTAGGACTGTTTACTTTTATATTTGAAATTTGTAAGCTGGTTATTTATTTTATCAATTTAGTTCAACTAAAGGAAGTTTTAAAAGAGAAAGAATTACTGAACATCAGTGTATTTTAATAAAAATTCTGAAAGAGCAAGATGGCATATTGCCTTAGTATGGAGCCATTAGATCTTAGATCACTTCTATGTTTTGCTTTTTAAAAAAAAATAATTTTCATAATTGTTTACAGTGTTATTATGATGATTTATTAATTAGGACATTTAAAAACCTGAATCACTTTTTTTGGATGAAGACAGTTACTATGCTCCATATTCATGTCACTCAAAATCATTAAAAATATATTGCAACTCAGCATTAAAAAACAATCACACTTGGGAGATGACATTTTAGGCATGTTAATACAGAAATGTATGTGACTTATAGCAAACCTCCGTTTATCGTCCTTTTTTTGAAGATATGTCTCCTTGTCAAGTAAGTGTTTCACTTGAAATGAATCCACATAATAATAAAGCCTTGAAAGATGTTTATAACGCAACTTTGTGAACTGAGAAAGTTTGCCACTTCTATTTATCAATAAGAAAAAAAGTATGTTTTAAAACATTACTTGGCAGCATTGGCAACAAACTAAAGGCGACCTTAAAAAACATTGTTTTGTGTGCATTTGCTAAGACATTCCAAATTCAACCCTCAAATTTGCATTTTGATTGTTAAAAATAATTTATTAAAATTTTTAGATTTGTAACATGATAGATGAAGCACAAATTTAATCAGAAGTATGTTTGATGTCTTTATAAGAAAATGAAATGTCACTGAACATAGTACTTAAAGGTATAAGTGCTTAAGAGTTACTGTGGTGCTTAATATCTGTTAAAATAAGATTGCATTTTAAAAAGGATGACGAAGGTAAAATGAGTGAGACAAAGCCCCCCTCTCCACCCCCCCGAAATGTACTCTTTACATTCTCAAGTTTTTAGTGATGAGTGTATATATGTATGTTTTTAATCATATCAATAAATCATAGTAAAAGCCAGATTATAGGAAGTGAGTTCCCAAAGCATGTTTAAGTCCACGTTTCCTTGAGCAGGGTTTCCTTTTGCATATATTTCTAAGGAGGATAAACAAAGTTTTTGTAGTTACAGCGAAAGCTGGAAGCATGGCATCAGAAAGTGTATGGAGATAGAGAGGTCTTATCATGGGCTGTGGTTGCTGTGAGCAGGGCTGCCTTCCCACACAAAGAACAGATTGTGGTTTAACTCTTTCCATGGCCTAGTTTAATGTGCTCGCATAGTAACCGAATTGTTCAAATCTCTGCTGGAAACTACTGATCGGTTTAATGATTTCCTCTATGGCATTTGGTTATGCCTCATGCTGTGATGTAATCATGTACATTCTATATTGTTATAAAATTTTGATGTATACTTACTCTACTGTAGGACCGTTTTATGGCAATATGTTAAAACACTTGATCACTGCATTATTGATTGGATGGGACGTACACCTCTTCCGTATCTGAACTGCAAACTGCTAACATGCCGCAGTCTTTTGCATCGAAACTTTGCATTTCATTTTAAAAATGGATTCATAACTATATGGGATTTTTTGGACACCTTCTTTGTTAGAGTGTCATTAGTTGCACTTTTATCATCTCTACCTAATGGAATTCATCAGTCTGCTGCTTAAAGATAATTTATTCCACACAATTCAGGGTGACTAGCATGAGACTGTAAATTCTAACTTGGGATATGATCAGAGAAAGTTATTTTGTGGTTGGGGTGACAGTATAGTCAGTGTGACCAGAAAAGTGGCCATGGTGGAAGTTCCCATTTGCTTCAGATCTTGGCTTACTGCATGCATGCAGGATGCATGCACAGGATGTTAAGCTCTTTCTCTGAACAGTAATAGGCCTGAGCTTATGAGACAGGTTTTACCTACGGCAGGAAGTAGTGAAACACTCACTGCTCTGGGAAGAAACTTGAAATATCTGTAGGTAAAGATTATCTGCCACTCCTCGTCCACGTCCCTCCCTTAGAAAAGGCTTGGGGATGAAACAGGCAGGAAAAATGCAGGAACCCAAGGTAAACCACTTAATTCAAAAGTCCGGATACTGTGCCATCTATACATGTGTAGCTTCACGAGCACATGTGTATGACGTGCACCCACAGTGCTGTCCGAGAATTCATATGCATAGCAAATGAATTATATTGATTCCACAAAAGCAGTAAGTGACCAACAGTGCACTCCTGGTGTCACCCTGCCACCGCTTGCAGAGACACAAAGAATGTAAAGTTGGTGCCAAGTTGCCATTTTTCATTGTTCACCTCAGATTGATTTTTAAGGGGTTTAGAATAATTGCCATACTCATGTGATCGGTTAACAAATTAACTGACTCTGTGGGGCTTCAGAGTCTATAGGAAAGCTACTGGAAGAACATTGGTGTAATTTTTGTTTTCAACTTTAGAAACTTTTATTTAAAAACACGAGAGTGTGTCTGTGAGAGAGTAGGAGAGTGCGAGTATGAGTGTGAGTGAGTGTGTGTTTGTGTGTGTGTGTGTGTTGCGGGCTAGTGTTGGTAGTAGAGGGAGAGAATGCACTGCTCAAAGTATGGAAACCTTCTGTTCAGGACACTGATACGACAAGCTGTGTCCTTTGCCCACTTTCCCTCACTGTATACCGGTTTCTCTAGTTACCACTCTTGGAATGGTGCTGTTTCAGTGTTGGAATGTTGGACGTTTGATAAGAAAATGGATCAAGTTTAATGGCGCATGCTCTTTGTGCCACCAGCAGCCTCTTGCTGAGAGCATGCTCCAAAAGCGGGAACTGTGTGGCATTACACTGAGCATCTATATGCTTTGTGTTTCTGTGCCACAGAGAAGAGAAATGAACTGTGGCATCGCTCCTGCCTTCTGAACAGCTCTGCTCCGATTAAAAAAAAAAAAACTCACTGTGTTCTTTGTAAAATGGTACTGCTTAGTGTTAGTTGGTCAATCAATATTTAAATATTAAATTAGGTGCCAAGCATCTTGGTTGCTTACGTTTTAAAGAATGTAGGATGCATGGTGGGAATGAGGGGGATGGGGCCAGAGTGGAAATACAAATATAAACCTTATTTTCTTTTTAGGAGGGAGAATCAACCTATGAGTTTTGGTGGAAAAGGGGCAGCTTGCCATACTTTGTTTTCTTCTTGTCCCGCTATTTTGATAATTTTAAATAAGAAAAGAATGTTATTTTTGTGCATAACTTTTTGTGCTGAATTTGGGAAAGAATTGTGGTCTTCTTTTTTTGAGCATTTAAAACTATATTAACCACGTATGTGTTCTTTTTCCCCCTCGTCTTCCATAGGATGAATTTCACCCATTCATCGAGGCACTACTTCCACATGTTCGTGCAATCGCCTACACTTGGTTCAACCTGCAGGCTCGGAAACGCAAGTACTTTAAAAAGCATGAGAAGCGAATGTCAAAGGATGAAGAGAGAGCAGTCAAAGATGAGCTTCTCAGCGAAAAGCCTGAAATCAAACAGAAGTGGGCATCCAGGCTCCTGGCCAAACTGCGCAAAGATATCCGCCAGGAGTACCGAGAGGACTTTGTGCTCACCGTGACTGGCAAGAAGCACCCGTGCTGTGTCTTATCCAATCCCGACCAGAAGGGTAAGATTAGGAGAATCGACTGCCTGCGACAGGCAGACAAAGTCTGGCGTCTGGATCTAGTCATGGTGATCCTGTTCAAAGGCATCCCCTTGGAAAGTACCGATGGAGAGCGGCTCATGAAATCCCCACATTGCACAAACCCAGCACTTTGTGTCCAGCCACATCATATCACAGTATCAGTTAAGGAGCTTGATTTGTTTTTGGCATACTACGTGCAGGAGCAAGGTAGGAGCAGATTGTTCTTTCTTCTAGCATGGCAAATCCTGCCCACAAACCCCATATACGGATGCATATATCTGGCTTGGGTAGATGGTCCTCGAGGCCCCTAGATCTCCTTCGCCCACTCTGGGTAGAGTGGCAGGCTCTCTCCCACTCACATGTCCACTGCCATGTGCAAGCCATGGAAATAGACATGGAGCTTTCATACCTGGATAGGCGTGGGTATTTCAAGAAAGACCACAAAGAGATGCGTTTCTAAATGTCTTTGAAATAATGTACTTTTTCAAAGACACAGAATAGTCTGGTAAATATAGTTGATTGCATTTCACTTTTTGTCCTAGGCGACATCCCTGGCATCTGGGCATCTTTTCCCAATTTGAAAATGTCACTTTATTTATGAATAGTCAAATCGCTCTTTAATAATCTTTGTATTAGCCTCTTTACTAACGAGGTGGATGAACTTTGTTCACAAATCTAGTGCTGTTGCACTGAAAATAGAATTAACATTTCCTGTTACAATATGCTTAAGATAGCCAATATCAGAAAGTATATCTTACATAGACCTAGATTTATTTGATTTAAATATTTCTATCAACACCTACTTTTGATGGTGTAATATTCGCTGTAGATTTAATGGAGTATAGTTCTTGTTTAAATAATTTATGTTATAATATTTTCTCAGAGTGACTTGGGAACACTTAATATTGTTAGTTTACTTGAATGTAAATTCATAAAACTTGTCGAGGAGAAAAGTCGAAGCTCTACTTACAGAACAAAAACAGAAAGTGGACTGGTTACACTGGTTTAAAATAAATCTCAAAAAGAATGCAGAAACCACATACCATACCTATTTAAAAAAAAAAACTTGATAGAGTGGTATAAATGTTACCTGAATAATTCAAAAATAGGTGATATTTTTGCTGAGTATTTTTTGAGTTCACAAAATATGTTTCTTTATTATTTTTGTTTTCTCAATATATTTTCCTTAAGTAAGTGAGAATTTCTTTTCTTCAAGTAAATGTGTCATGATATAGATGTCCTTGTATTTGCAACTGTCCCTAGTAAAACATCATTTTAAAAAACAGCGTACCAAAAGTGGACTGAAGTTTGATCAGCCACAGATGGTGGATCATTTCCTAACTTGGCCTGGTGGTAGGGAAAATGGCCTTCAGATAGCCAGGTGGCAGACAGTTATCTGATGTTCCTTATATATGTGGGATTTAATAAATGGGTATGAACTTTATTATCATACAAAAAAATAAAATATCAAAATTACACTTTTGACTCAGAAATCTAGGTGCTAACTTTTTGTCTTTATATTTTTTTGATATAGTTTTAGAGATATGCTTAAATATCATTTAAAAATTTTTAGTTTGATTTTAAATAATGGTGCTGGACATCATACATTTGGAAATATTACTTTAAAAAAATCAAATATTGCATTTATTATTTCCATGCATTTAAGAATTAAAATCCAAGTAATGATGGTTTGGGGAAAAATATATTTCACCCTATGTGTCCTAAAATAAAAACTCATTAACACATGACACTTAATTTGATTGACAGCTGTCTGGGAGATGACATTTTAAGGTGGGCTGTATACATGTGTTGGATTGACTGTAAATGTGTTGTAACTATGTTGTGAAAGTCAAGGCTGGAAGTAAACTTTTAGAAAGTGGGTCATGTAACTTTTTAGTGCAGGGAGCGAAGATTTGCAATCACTTCACTGCTGCTCACATTTTAACTTGCTTGAAGGCCAGTCCTTGAGGTGTGCACGCATGTACATTCACTCCTGGGGCAGGCAGCCAACTCTTGGTTGATGAACTGACAATAAAGAACATATCCTTTGGATTTGTGAAGATAGATTGAAGAAAGAAAAATGCATAAATGCCTTCTGCATTGCACCATCGGTCATGATAATCGTAAAGTTTTAAGCAGCTCTTTGGAGAGGATGTTTTCAGATCAAACATTGATTCTGTTGTTGTTTTGAGTCTCTGTCCTAAAAACTGTTCATTATTTTACCCTGTGCATCTAATTTGTATCCTCTGCTACCTGCCAGCGCATCATCTCTTCTTAACATCTGTTGGCTCTTTGAAAAAGTCACATCAGGATGCTTTTATGTTTTCCCTTTTTCGAAATTTGTATCTTTTTTTCTTTTTTGGTCAAATGTAGGTTAATTATGTCATTTTTGCAGTGCAATTGATTAAAGAAGGCATTTTAAAAGATAAGTCTGTAGTCAGTCAGAGGGCTGTATATCTCCCATCATGACTTTTTATTTCTCCTCTAAGTACACGAAAATCCACTTGTCTGTTTTATAAATCAGGTAAAAAAGTATAGAGAAAAACATGAAAGAAAAATCAAAAAAGAAAAATGTAATGTTTGCCACAGAATGAGCAACAAAATTACCTTTTCCTCCTTTTTTCTCTCTCTCCCCACTTCTAAACGACTGGGAGGAAAACATGAGAAAGAACAGAGAGAATGCCAAAATGGTTGCCACTGGCACCAGGATTGGCACCAGACCCTCTTTGTTTAGCTCAGGATGCCTGTGATTTGTTAGTTGGCATCCGCATTGCAGTGTGGAGTGATGTTACAATATATTGACAATTTCCAGATCTAGAGATGTCAATAGTCCTCTTGGTTATTTATACAGGATCACAAACTGCAACTCTTCTGGAGGATGAAATAAAGACCAACATATAATAAAGTTCCATTGTTGACCAACTTCCTTCGCTTTTCTTTTTCCCTCTTTCTCTTTTGGTTCAACCCACACTTCTTTTTTTTTTTTTTTCCTTCATACCCAGCAGCCTCATCTTTTTTGAAATGTGGAAAGAGTTACTAGAGCTTTGACACAAGCTGTAGTGCTACATCTGCATCTGATATGGTTTGGGGAAAAATTTATGCATTTTGAAATCATTTTTGATATACAGTTCGTTAGACTTTTGCATCACGTGGCCGCAAGGCAGTATTTTCTGTAAAGCTACATCTCTTTGTTATTCAGCTTCCTCTATGCATATAGCCCCGTTGACCGCAATTTAGTCCATTTTTCTATTTCTCTACCTTAGTAAGGGGTCATGTTCAATATAGTCGTTTATAAAATTATATAACCCCCCCCCCCACTTTACCTAAAGTATACACATCATTTGGGAGCAACTGCGTTTAAATCCATAAAATCATTTGACGTTATTGATTCAGAGGGCTGCGCTTCGGCTGTTTCGTTGCTACAAGAACCGCCATTTTGTTTGTGAAGTGCCAGGCGAGGGGGAAAAAAAAGGCAGACACTGTGCTTGATGCCAATAATGGTTGCCAGTGGCACCGAGGTTGGCATCAGACCCTCTTTGTCTGGTTGCTGAATGCCTTTGATTCGTTGGTTGGCATCCGCATTGCAGTGGGCACACTGGAAAGTTTTTGACAATCCCTGAATGAAAGCTGTTTGCTTGTTTGCGGCAGCAAACCTTAGCTAATATAAAACCCTTCCTTTTTTTTTTTAGGTTTTTCTTTTCTTTTTGAAAGACTGTGACAGATTAAAGGAAAAAATAGCTCTAAAGTGGCCTCCACTTTCCCAAAGATATTAAAGATGTCCAATGATTCTTGGGCAGGTGGTACCTATTCCCCATATTGTCTTTGTTATTGCGTTCATGAAAGCAAAACAAAACAAAACAAAAACCAGGCAAGCTTTGCACAGCACACCTTCCTGGGACGTAAATGTACCCTAGGATGCGGGTGTGCTCTGGGAGGGATGTGGAGGACCAGCCGATTATAGTGATGTACTGTAATGCGTTCATTCTGACCATTGCTTTCACTTACATCACTGCTTTTTTCTGATGCAGTTTTTAGATCCCTGTGTTTCCACACTTCCCGATTTCATAGTAACATGTTGAGAGGAGCTTACTTTTCTTTCTTGTTAGTAATGTGTAACAGTGTCAATGCTAAAAAAGTGAGAAACCCTTCAAGAGGAAACCTCTGTGTTAAGGTCTGATAGAAATCAGTCATTCCTGAATTTCTCAGTGCTGCATCAAATCGTTGCCAAACTCTCAGTGCACAGTTCTGTACACTGGCAAAACCAAGCAAAAGGTGAAAATAATTTTGGTTGAAGTTTCCTAAATAGTTAGCATTAATATTGCTTTCTGGTTAACCACCGTTATCTCGTTAATTAATAAGAAGGATTAGCAGTTCTACGCAAAGGGCTGCACAGAAGGAAGTCTGGCCTATGGGAGGCCTTGAGTTGCCAGGCTGTGTCCTGTCTGAGGGGGGAAAAAGGCGAGGTGGGGTGGGCTAGGAGGACTGAGCTTTCTCTGAGGCAGGGAAGGGCTTTGAAGAGAGAGGGAGGTCACAACACACTAAGAAGTTTAAAGACCTCAAGAGATAGTAACTGTTGTCGTGAATTTTAACAGATTAGAGTTTAAACTAAGTCAGCCTAACTGATTTTTGGACTGTACTTTGCACTTTTATTAAACATGTTTGGGAGTGCTAAAGAGAGGCCTGGAACCTCACGGCTCTCATGAAAGAGGAATTTCCTTTAGCCTATGGAACCTTTAAAATTGTGATCCATTGTTGGATGGCCACTTTGGTTGTTTTATTGTTAAATGTTAGGATACTTAAAGCACATTTTTAAGTTGTGAAACATGTGACTTGTTTATGGGGGAAGTCGTAATCATTATTATTGTTTTTGAAATAGAATCCTTCCTGGTTGTCACATATCATTAGTGAGGAAGCAAATGCTAAGAATTATTTTCCTCCTTCAGTTACCGACTTTTAGAAGCCTTTTGGGTAACAATTATTTCTTTATGAAAAGCTTAAGTAGATAATTGTTTGCAAGTTGACAGCGTATTTTAACATTTTAATAAATTTCACTTCATTTGCAGAGATTTCCCATTATGGGGAAAACTAAGCTTTCATAATTTGTTGAAATGAGGCTGCTCTCTAGGATGATTTGGTGTGCTGGCGTTGTGAAATGCTCAGAGAGCATAAAGTTGCATGCATGTTTGATTTAGGGGAACACTGTTCAG